AAAAAAAAAAAAACAAAAAAAAAAAAATGGGGCAAATAAATAATGATATTTACAACAATAAAACTAAAAATTGTAAGGCCCTTTTGCGGAGAAAACGAGGATAAGAAGGATTGAGAGCTGCTAAAGAAAGATTGTTGAACTATTTGGAAATTTCAAGGGGCGAGAAGATGAAGGGGCGAAAAAAAAGAAAGAAAGTAATGGGGAATCTGAAAGCGCACGTAGGGGAAGAAGGAAAAAGGAGAAGGCAAATAGTAACAACAAATGGAAGAGCTTTTTAGGTGGTGTGCCCTATTTATATATTTTGGTTGCTTTGGACGCGTGTGACAAACAAAAAAAAAAGGGACATGATTGATGCTTACTAAAATTTGAAAACTCTTTGTGCTACAAAATTCAAAGAGGAGTTGTAATATAGGTTTCATTCAATGCTACTAAACTTGTACGGTTGGGAGTATGTGTTTTGCTAGTTAAAAAAAAAATAGTATGTGTATCGTGCGATGTGCGGTGCAAAATATTACGATTATATTGTAATTTAAAGTATAGAAAGAACAATAACCATGGTTTGTTTACCCATTGCTTTCAGAATCGGACTGGACCGAATAGTCCGACCGAGTGAACTGCGAGCCGATTTGTCAATCAATCCGGTTTGCTTGAATCAAATGTTTGTGTGTAAACGGATCAGCGCGAGTCGCTCTAAGTGGTAGGATTTGTGCGATTTTAAGTAAGTTTTGTCACGTTTAAAATTATTTTTAATATGAGTGGAAGTACATATTTAAATAAAATAAATATTAATAAATTAAATCATGGTCCAACAAATAATGTATGTAATAAATACATGATCGGTTCGATGATGGTCTGGTTCTGAAAATCCTTAATTTACCATACATTAATAAAACCTGTAATGCAATATCATTTTTGCTTACATACATATTAACAAAATGTTATATAAATATTCACAAATCATTAAACATATTTTCATAAAGTTATTCTTGGAGCTTGTATTAATTATGTTTATCGCAATAAAAAAATTTTAAATATTAAACTTTCTATTTAGTTTCAATAATCGATTTGGTCTGGCAAACTGACTCAAGACCAAGGATCAACCCTAGTCGTGTCAAAGTTTTGGATTATTTTAAATATCATTTAAAAGTAATTTAATCAACCTGGGCAGTAACCTATTTCAATCACACGATTGTCCAAAGAAATTTTCTTATTTTTCCTTAAATATATTAATTTTATGAAACTATATCAATTTAAGGCTTGTATTTTGTTCTTTCTCAGTGAAAGACTTATATTTTAAGTTATTATCGATTTAAGGCTCAGTTTTTAATAAACTTTTCATTGTAATGCTCAACTAACATTACATTTTGGCATAAATATGTGAATCAATTAACTTTATTTTATGATATAGTTATGTGAATAAAAATATTTATTCTATTATTATTATTATTATTATTATTATTATTATTATTATTATTATTATTATTATTATTATTATTATTTGTAATTTATGTTTTACATATTTGGTAACATCAAACACTCCGACCGGCTAGAAATTGGTTCGCCTCCTTCCTCCTCGCCGGTAGAACGCCACGTACATGAAAAGAACGCTCACACCGGAACTTTTCAGGTGGAGAGCCTCTGATGCTTAAGTCATTGTTTGTTCTACTCAATTCTCAAGAGTAAAATGCATAAATCGTGTTCAAGAAGTAAAGCTCACTCCTATATATATAAGGTGAGTTACTTGCCCTAGAAGCTGCTCGGTTAGCTGAGCTAGCGGCTTAAAAGTTGTCCGGCCTGCCCGCCCGTACACACACAGTGTGCGTGTGTCAGAAACAATTATCACCATAGACTAATACAATCGTGTCATGTGTCCTTCGCACATGGGGTAAAGATTCGTCTATGTTCTCTTTGAAGGCTCTTGTGCTCAACTGTGTAGGTCGATCCTCAGACCGCTCTCCTTCTGTGAAGTGGTCGATCAAATGACCCTTTGCTCGACAGATCTACTCTTCGACCAGATCCCCCATGGATCTAAGACCAACTCGTTCTTCTCATCCAGATGTCCTCTTGTACTGCTCTCGTGGTGTTTGACTACGACCCCTGCCCGATTTTGATCGATCAATGTGGGCAACTTGGTTTGCTCGGCTCGTCCGACCGGCACAATGGACCGGTTTACTCCTTTAGGTATAATATTCATATCAATATTTATAATAAAAATAATAAGTATCTTTATTAAAATTTTCTTACAAGAAAACGAAGTTATATAAATTATATTTATGCAAAACTTTAATTATTATTATTTTAAAAAATTGATAAGTGAATTTGAAAAATATGTAATGGAAATATTATTTTTATTAATAATATAAATATGTAATAAAACAAAAAAAAAAAATATGTAAATAAGTATACAAAAACATATCATTTGCAACCAATAATTGCATGGTATCAACTTTTGCGTCAAAAAGGAAAAGTTAAAATCATGAAAAGCTAATTAAAATGAAGACAATATTATTTTTAGTATTATTACATATTTCTATTATCAATAAATAATATAAATAGTTAATTTAGAGTCACCTATAACGTGTTGGGAAATGTTGAGAATTTGGAATTAGGTTTGATTAAAGTTTTATTTACTTCGATTTAGAGCCACCTCTAAAGTTATAACTCATCTATATACACAAAGATTGAATTTTACCTTCCACGTCATAAATTACTCTGTCCAATTCAACATCTTATCAATCCGTCACGGAAATTGTATGAAACTTTAATTAAACTGGCAACATTGTGGACTTTTTTTAAAACACCCTAGTGATTGATCCCTTGCGAAAAATTATAAACATAATGGACAACAAATGAAATTTCGCCCATACCTTCATTACTTCTATAGATAATTACCGATTAGTATTCATTAATCAAGTCTTAATTATGTTAACCACTTCACATAAGTGTAAGTTAAGATGTCAAACTACTGAGCTGTTATAGCTACAAATCGTCGGGCTTTGCGCTAATTTTTATTTTGAAAGATCCATTTCCCTCCAAGCTGAGTTGGATACTTGGATACCATTTGACTAATGATGTGATATAATTTTTCTAAAAACATATTTTGATACTCTTGAGTAACTATGTATGACTGATTTTTAATTGTCTATATATATATATATATATTTATATATATATATATATATATATATACACACACACACACATACACATTGATGTATCCCGATCTTGTGTCGACTTTGTGTATTTCGTAATCTTATGTTTCGAATTTTAGAAATTTATAATTTTATTGAGTGTCCATGTATATCTAGATTCTATTCATACTTATTATGTTAAAATTTTAAAATACTTGCCTAACTTAAATGATAAATAAATATTTTAAAAGTTAACAATTTTAAATTTATTATTAATTTTTCTTATATAATATATCAAATTAATCTTATTATGACGAGTTGTGATTTGATATCCAGATTGCAGATAAAAATTAAATAATTAATTAATTATTATAAAATTGAATTTATTAATAATAATAATCAAACATTAATAAATTTATATCTCAATTAAAAAAACTGTCTATAAATTCAATACATTTGAATTAGAAAAATTGTTATTGATATAAGATGGAAAAATCGTACAAGAAAAAAAGTTAAGTTTAAATACAAATAATAATTAACTTTATAAAAAATATTAACTTGTAGGAGTTATGGTATATTTATTTAGTAAATTTATATATCAATTATTAAAAAAGTTATCAATTATTAAAAAAGTTATCAATAAATTAATTACATATGAATTAGGAAATTATTTTAATATACGACAAACAAATCATATAAGGGAAGAGTCTCCTTTTAAGTATAAATAATAATGCAAATTCTTGAAAAGTATCTAAAATTTAAATAATTAAAAAAAAAATCTCCTTTATATTTAGTTTTATATTACAACATTTTGTTGCTAGCACCGTGTAATCACAAATGTTTGTAAGCAATTAGAAAATGTGGATATAAATTTGCAGTAGGCATAATAAATTAAAATGTGGATTTAAAATATCAGTTGGAATCTCAATTGAACGTATCCCTTGAACTTTGGTGGTACTGGAGCCTTCGATACTCGAGGTAAGGTTCAATTCCATTTCGGTGTTGGTGTTGGTAGACATTTGAAAACCATTTTTAAAAGAAAATATCATTCCCATAGTTTTTTATACTTTAATTTTACGTGTGATGTTAGAAAAGTTGAAAAAAGACTACCGTCCATGGTTTCGTGAGGTATTTTGGTCATGCTTTATCTAAAATGACTAACTCACATGTATTATGTATATCTAAATGACTAACTCACATGTATTATGTATATCTACAGGCTAAAATTTCTCACGGAACCAGAAGCGAAACCATGTACATGGTTGGAGAGGCGCGGGCCCCTCCAAAAAAAAAAAAAAAATTAAACTAGCGGGAGTACTTTCTTGAAAGCACGAGAATAGTAGAAGCCGTTCGTAAAATTTATTTCACGTTTCGAAGTTTCGAGCATTTATTTTGAGAAGTTCGAAGTCGAGTGCACATAGTAGAAGAATAAAAAACCGTTTTGCGGGGTTCCGTAAGGTTGCGTGTGACCTCGGTTTAACGAGAATCGAGTTGGAGCGTGTAGACAATTCAAGCACGATTCCATACGGACAAATTTCGTACTTTTCGGAGTTCCGAGCATTTATTATGGGAGTTTGACTTTCTGCGTTAACTAGTATCAAAAGGAGCAAATTTGTCGAGGACGAGTTCGATCGTTCGAGGCTTCGTTTTCTCAATTTTTTCAGCTTTTCGTGTATTCGAAAGGAGGTATAATTCTTGATTATTATTATAATTGAGTCCGAGATTTTTATTAGTATAAATTCGAGTATTTATCGAGTTAAAACAATTCAGTTTAAGTATACCAGTTTAATTCCGGACTTAGTTTGATTTTTAGAAAAATCTCTAGAATATTCTTTTATATTCTGCGAAAATTTTTTAGAGCATCCACAAAAGTCCTTTGAGCGCCCTTCCGATGCCGGAGTGGGGGTGGTGCGCCATGGGATGGCCGGAGTGGGGGTAATGCGCCGCGGCAAATAGGGCCCTCCCCGGAATGACCGACTGGTTTCGCCACTGCACGGAACCATTCCATGATTGTAGCATTTTCCAGAAAAATTATATAATGTCATTTTCTAGTCCCCTAACGTAGGTTATGTGTGTTTGGTTCCCTCTTTTTATTGTATTTCCCAAGCCTTAATTATTTTTTTACATCATTTTAGAGTCACCATATGCCCCAAACAAGAATAAATGCACTGTCTTCAGATTATTTTTTTGAGAATGTACTATGTCATGACTCATAAACACACGGACGATAAAGCGGAGAAGACAAACGTATTTCAAATCAAACAAAAGAAATATGTATTTTAAAATCTGAATATGAATTCGAAATCAGTCTCAAAACAATGTTTTTTTAAAGCGTAGATAAAAACTTCAAAACCTTAAACAAAATAGAAATTAAATAAAATAAAAATAAAAAATAAAATAAAATAGTTAAGACATATTACAAAAGATGGAATTTAGGTTCATGACCACTCAGAAATATAGTGAAAACATCGTTCTATTTCAGAAAATATAGTGAAATTCCATCTCAAAACTCATCAGTAGTAGAAAAAGTAGTCAACTAGGCTCATAAATTAGACATATTTTCTCTATATAAACAATGTAGGACAACACACAATTAATATTCTAATATTCCTCGTCTAATATCTTAACCATTCTCAATTACAATACCTTCCACATCTCCATACTGACTTGATCGTCATCAGAGTCCTAACGTCAGGAGCACATCTCGACCCTTTTCTCCAGATCTCTAGTTCCATCACGGTTTCATCTCAGGCGATCTAAAAATCGGAGTTATTTGATATAATTTCTATCATTATTAGTTGCTAATTTATTTTTCCAACCTAATTCACATAAATGTCCTTTCTTTTTCTTCCTTAATTGGAATTTGACAATGGAGAGTGGGAGAAAAATTGAAGGCTTTTGGGAAAAGAGAGGCCAAAAAAAAGATGATTCCTTTTGGTTTTTGGGCAAAAAGGAAAGTGGGAGCGTGACGCATGATAAGCATCAAATGCCATATTTTTCCTTTTAACTTTGTTTTGCTCGTAGGTGATTGGTTAGGGAAAAAGGCTGTCACTTTAAAGTCAGTGAGTCTCAGTCAGGTGCATTTGGACATTTCAACACTTATTTATTATTATACGGTCGAATTATTTGACATTTTTTTTTTCACAACCACCGGTAATGTAATGATACGAGCATCATTGGAGTTGGTGCCATCGGAATTATCGAATTTTTATTATTTTATTCTTAGTATTTTTTTAAGTATTTGCTGCTATGGAGACTTTTCCAAGTCCATCGGCATGGAAATCATACACATTTTGACAAAGCGGTCCCGGTTCGTTGACTTGGGATTCGGGTCAGAATCAGGGTTGGAGGCACGGCCCGACTCGTGGCCCGGCCCGCGAATCGGCACCGGCACCGGCCCGGAATCGCGCGGGCCTATGAACCGGACCGTGTCCATGCGGTTCGGTCTCGATTCTCAATTTTTTTTAGTTGTGGGGTCGGGTCAGTTCCGATTTTTCGACGGGTCATAGTTGGTTTTATTTTTTATTTTTTATTTTTTATTTATTTTTAACTCGGCTGTTCAACGAACCGTCGGACCGGACCGGGCCGGTTATCCCATAGGAATTGTCGGGCCGGTTACGGGCCCAACAATTAAGGCCCAACGACCCGGCGACCGGGCCCAGACCCGGGACTTGGTCATGTCTAGTCTTGTAATTCAGTAATTGTAAGTGAATCGCTATTTACCGCCCCCCTTTTACTAGTCATCGCCCCTCCCCCCCTTTACGTTTTTGCCCTTCAATCCTTTCTCCACTCTCCTCTCTCTCTACTCTCTTTTTCTCTCTAAAATTCCCGAGACTTTAACGAGTCATTCGAGTCTAAAA